TCAACTCTGTTAGACGCAAATTTCTTATTATCATTTACTTCATGACACTTGGCTTAACCCCATAAGCATCAATATAAAATAAATAAAAAGGAAACCTGCATTTGCTTATTTACTATACATTTATACATCTACTTTATTTTATTTAATGTTAATTGAGACTTGCACTGAAGGAAATCTACCTTTCTAACTTCATAGTGAATTAAGTCGTCATGTCTATTATATTGATCGGATAAAGGAATTTATTCATACTCACTTTGCTGTGCTGCCAAACAACAAAGTAGTCACCGAAAATTAAGAAAAAAATGAGGTCACATGAAATATTCGAACCTCCAATTGTGTTGTGTTGTCCACTTAGAAAAATGCTAGAAAAATATCGAGATCAAGCCGAAGGATAAAAACGAATCCTAATTTATTGTAGTTTGCTTATCCACCAGCCTTAGGAAATAAGAATAATTCCTTGATTTCCTTGGTTTTCATTGGCTCATATATATAGCAACTTGTATTATTTAAAAGAATGTTCAATAGGACCTATCCTTTATGGGGTTTTGGCAGAAGATAGGCCTAGTATTTCGCTGATGAAGGGAGTGCATTTTTCTATTGCTCCATTTCCCCCACACTCACACAGTTGCAGGCAACCCTTGAATAAATTTATCCTACAGTAATTCGACTAGGTCCTCATAGTTACAAAGCCAGTGACGTTTTTAAAATATAACTAACTCTAGCCATAACAAGTAGATATCTTCCCTTATCTTTACCAAATACTTTCATCCCATGTTGCCTTAGCTTTCTTAATGCTGTAAACTTGCTCATTTCAAGGAGCTTATAGAAAGTTATCAAGTAGTGGAACGACATGTGGCTCTCTTATCTAATTAATAGCAACGTTGGGGTTGCAAATAAGAATAAGAAAGTAGATAAAATTGTAAATATGCTCATAAAACATGAGTTATTGTTGTGGCTATAATAAACATCAAAGTTAAAGAAGATTTTTGAACCTATAGAATTATAACTAAGGACGCTATACAAATACTGAGCACAAGACTCAAAGAGCGCATGAAAACTGTGAAAGAAGCAATGAACTGGAGAGATAGAAAAGAAAGCTTTGGCTACTTTGTCCGACACTTTAAGGAGAATCTCACCTTTAAACGTTTTCAATTTTCGACTTTCATCGGCAATATAATCTTTGTGGCCTGACTTTTGAAGAGCTTGTGTTCGTCGCTAATTCTTGCCCGCAATATCAGGTATCATATTATCAAACTTAAAAATTAACTGAAATAAGTTGTTAATTGAGATTGTTATGGTAAAGACGATGCCATATTTAGCATTATCTCATGTTGTAATTTCACTACGTGACTTAGGCCAGAATAAATCCAGTAAAGTATCGGATACGGACATATATGGTAGTAATATAATAATCGAGTTAGATAAACGTTTGCGCATTTATATCAAATTTATTTACAAATATGCAAGCAAATCTGATTGCATACACAGACATTTATCTAAAACAACCATCATTAGCGTGGATATATGGCTATAGGCATAACGTACACAATCGACAAATTCAATCAACCCACTCCTAAAGCAAGAGATATGTGAACTCCAGAGTGCTAGCTAGTGCCTTGAGCATGGCTAGCATTCAAGCACTCATTATTTACACTGATAAAATATTTCCCCCTCTGTATATTTATATGAGATTTATTCACCCTATTTACTGCAGCTTTACAACTTCAGATATAAAATAACCAAATAAATCATATAGCAATGGAATATAAGCTGAATATAAACGCCCGAGATGAAAATAATGACTGACTCACTAAAAGATAGGAAACAAATAAAAGAATCCTTTTTTTCGGTTCATAATTGCAGGTTAAATTATTACAGCAAACAACTCTTACCAAAAGTTCCTTGCCCATTAACCGTACTAGCTGCTCCAAGCTCCTGGAGTCTTGCGACCATTTTATTGGGCTTGAGCCGGATTCATCGGTTTCCCGACCAAGCCCTGTATCTAGTTTGGTCAGTTGGTGGCAGACGATTGAAAGGCAAACGACAAGGGGATTGCCAAGTGCCACTCCTGTACCGGTGTCCTCAATCTGATGACGCATATCAGTCAATTCATTGTCTTCATCATCCTCCCCCAAATATGTGTGACAGTGGTTAGCGGGAGACTGGGAATAATGGCTCGCTGATAGCGATTGGCGTTCGTGATTAAGCACGCGCTGGAAAGAACGAAGAGCTCTAACGGCTCGGCAGTAAGCACATGTCTGACCTGCTGGCTTACGAATCCCCTTCACTGGAGAGGGCGTGGCTACAGAATGTGTCTGGTCTATTATGTGAGTAGACAAAATAGGAGAGAACAGACAAATGAATGGCAAAAGTAATAAAGGCTCAATCACTTACAGTAGCGTCATTGCCCCTTCAACCCAATTCTTAATATTCCTAACAAATGACAATTAATTCCAATAGATTATGGCTTTGAAATTTTTTTTATTAATCCTTCTATCTCCTGATCAAAGTGTTTACTTCTCTGTAGGTCGCAGACTTCTTATTATCATGGGTTTTATTTTTCATACTTCATCCCTATAAGCATAATTAGAAAAGAAATTCCAAAAAATGACCGCATGTATGAGGCTCCTTTCTACATAACTATTCAATTGGGATACATATTTACTAAGCATGTCTGTTTTGGCTGATGAGCTTGACATGTCTATTGAACGAGTGCTAATTAGGTTAGAATCTTAGTCTTATTTTTGGACGGTCACTCAACATTCTCTCTCTCTTTCAATCAAGCATAAGTGATTCTCTTCACTTTCCACCACCATTCTTCACATTCAACGTATTCCATAATCTATTAATTTTATTAGTCTTTCTTATATTGCATTTCGTAGCAGGCATACCATAATCAGCAAACCTCATCGTACGAGAACATTCTATCTCATGTTCGGTCTCCGTCATATATTATGCCACGTCTGACAGTTCGATCCAGCTGCCTTTACAAGCATTTTTGTGCTCCGTTCATCTATGGCAGATCGGCCGACAGGCCTCGCCAACATAAGGTCGATCATAAAAGCAGAGGCGGATCTTGATAGTGGGTCATGTTTCCCTCTGACAGAAGGTATAACCTAAGAAAGTGTCAGAGTTTTTTTGAAAACTTTCTATATCCCCCCCTTCCTCACTAGTTCTCTTATATTCTTGGAAAGAAAACATCACGGCTCGCCTGTCTCTGACCAAATAGTTTCCGCCTGAAAGTGCATTCCTTATTAAAGATATATTATTGCCAATTAAGCCCAAAGGATAATAATTCTCCAGTAATAAAACTTTCAGTGTTCTTAACTCTTCAGTCAGATAATTTTCATCCTCAAGCCTCAACTCTTAATATCCATAGATTTTTAAATTCAAACCTTTGTAACTAGGGTTAGAAGGAAAATTAAGAAAAAAGCCAGCGTATTCAGGTTTCCTATAAGCATCTCTGACTAACTTACCATCTTCCATAATAACCAAAACGTCCAAAAAAGGTGATTTATATTTTCTTATAATTCCATTATAAATTTAATATTTCTTTTACTCTAGGTAAGTTAAAATAGAAAACTATCTTAATTATCTATACCATGAAGCCAGATCACAAATTAATCATCCATATATCTAACAAACAATCTATGAGTCAGAATTATGTCTTGCATTAAGCGTTACTACCTGGTCGCGATGAGGAATCACCTCCAAATCAACACTATTCTAGACTTTTTCATGCCATCTATCTGATAAGCTAACTAGCTCAGCCAGTATTTTCAGAAAATGGTTTACTTTATTCAGTAGTGAAAAATTTAATCTTCTTTCCAGTAGAAGTTTCACGTAATATTCCAGCTCTATAATGAATAAATAAATTATAATATTGAATATATAAAGAAAAAGATGTTGTGGCCTCTGTTATGGTCGCAGTCTCCTTTCGATTTATGGAAGTGAGTTGACCTCGTTGTGTTCAGGGAGACTAGGGAGAACGGCAAGGCTCACTGATGATGCCGACTA